TGCTCAAAAACCGTTCTTGGGCTCCATGAACTTGGAGATTCCAAGAATGAGGAAAAGATGCCCTCAAGTCCAATGTCTAATAGAATAAAAGGGAAAATCTATAGTCCAGTATGAAGATAGAGGCATTAACAATGGTCCAGTGCAAGTGACTATGGTAACTAGGGAATATTCAGCACCTGAGCTGCAGGAATTGGGAAAGACTCTTTAAAAGGCAATAAAAGAGCCTGTCACAGCCTGAATTGTGAGACTGTGGGACATGGGAGTGAACTGGATCAGTCTGACGGCTGTGGAGGCAGAAAAATTGGGGACTACAACTCGCCTATACCTATAACTTTTATAAGGCAAAAGCTGTGTAACCTGAGACTGTGTGAGGGAAATGAACCCTTAACGGACTGGCTTATCAGAGCCATCAGGAACATCTGATTACCTCCATCTAAAGTCCCCACAAGTGCCTAGGAATTAAAAAAAAAACTAGCAGAGGGACAGGCACTATTGAGGAAACTAGGAATGAGAGGAGCTATGTATGGACTCAATTCACTGGGCCAGACAGAACTATGTTTATTTAATGGAACCCCATGGTGGACAGAATCTTTATGAAGGAGAGGCTTTGGCACCTGGTGATCTAGATCATCATATGGGAGGAGCGGAGAAGAGTAAACAGGCAAGGCCATATCTGAATCACCCAAAGGCAATTTGTGTCAAACCAGAGTTCCTAGGGGAAATACTGATACCAAGTCAACTTTCTATACTGGTGAGTCTTTGAAAGGCCTCAATGCAGTGGCTCTCAAGCTATGGGTCACAACCCCTTAAAAGATCTAAAGCCCCAAGCCGGGCGTTGGTGGCGCAGCCTTTAATCCCAGCACTCGGGAGGCAGAGGCAGGTGGATCTCTGTGAGTTCGAGGCCAGCCTGGTCTACAAAGTGAGTTCCAGGACAGCCTCCAAAGCCACAGAGAAACCCTGTCTCGGAAAAAAAAAAAAAAAAAAAAAAAAGATCTAAAGCCTCTTTCGCAGGGATCGCCTAAGGTCATCGGAAAACACAGATATTAACATTACATTTACAATAGTAGCAAAATCACACTTATGAAGTAGAAACAAAAGTAATTTTATGGTTGGGGGTCACCACAACATGAGGAACTGTATTAAAGAGGCACAGCATTATGAAGGTTGAAAACCACTGCCTTAAAGCCTGACTAGCAGTTCACCAAAAAGCTAAAAAAATAAATAAATAAAAGACAGGGAGGTTCAGATGATCCCACAGCACCTCAGGTCCATATGTAGAGTCAAGACTCTACTGGTTACCCATGAATGTTCAAATTACTTGGTAAATACTAGAGTCAGTTTACCTTAACTCATGGCAAACCCCAAAAATATAAGGGACAGTGAGCAACAGTAGATGGATATGGCAATAAGACAATACAGATATAAAAGTTACTAAGCAGGTTCTTGGGTGGGGAGTTATTCCTCCCAAGAGTATATGGCATGTATTTCTCCACTGCAAAAAAACATTCTGGGGATGGATACATTGGTGGGTATACCACTTTGGGGGAGTATTGCCTAAGAGTGTGAACAGCAAAGACAGTCATGTGTAGTCAGGCAAGATGGCAACATGGTAATTTGCCACTCGAGTAGGGTGGTGGAGTTCAAACACCCAGGGGGGCTGCCTAGGGGCCATAATAAAGTTACAAAAACCATTGCAGAGTTAGAAAGGGTAGAGAGTGAACCCTTTCAACAGCCCAAGTAGGCCTGTAAAAAAAAAAAAGCCAGTTTGCTCCTAGAGAATGACAGAATTATAGAGAGCTAAATGAGGTAGCTCTCCCTATAGATGCTGTTGTGCAAATAATGTTCACTGAACAACTAGTACAGTGATGGATTTTTTCCATTCTGTCTTGGACCTTGCTTAAGTTTGACTTATCTTCTTCGTGGTGAATTTCTGGGGTCACCTGACTCCTCCTGAAGACAGATGACAACAGACTTTCAGAGTGCTTCACCAGGGTTATCTTTGTTATGAGACAGAGGTTGCTTGTCCCGCCCATCACCTGGAAAGCTTTTTGTTATACAGACATAGCGCTAGCTCTGCATGTTTTACAAAAAGCCACTGGAGAGACAACCAGGTACAATGGTACTTTCACCTACCTAACCATCCCGCTGAGGCTGAGTTAATTAAAAGGAAAAATGGCTTGTTAAGACAATAGCTGCAGAGTTTAAAATCCAAAAGGTGTACCTACATGGGTAAAAAAGGATATTCCCAGAATTGATAAAATTATCAAATAAAACCCTCAGTGCCAGGGATGGGGTACCTCCTAGTGAGTTGTTGTCCAGGGAAGTCCCTGAGGCTCCACAAACAATAAAAGCTATTGCTACTACTATTGGTTGTATGCCAGAACTAGACCATAAGACCCTGTTGCTGGAGACACAGCATGTTCAAGCTTTAACTGTAGGACATACAGAAATTAAGCGTGGACTGAACTGAAAACTCCCACCATGATGCTGGCTTTTGTAGTGCCAGTGGAGGTAAGGCAGACTGCTGATAGACAACTGTTACCAACCTTCCTGCTTGGCTATGAATCCTGGATATTAAAGTACTGATACGCGAGGCAAGGTGTGCCTTCTTGTGCAAAAGTGGCTCAGCTATCATGGGTAAAACCAACAGCCGTCCAGGTGGATTTAAGGCCCACTCCACAAGAAGGAGTTCATGTCTGGTACCATAAGCCAGTTTAAAACCTGTAGCTTGGCAGGTCATGTCCAAAACACGAAACAACTTTTTGATATTTCTAGATGGATGTGACGTGCCTGTCAAACTGCCCTCTGAACATCTGTCTATACCCATAGATCGCTGTTATTGTCAGCCTCAACTCATAACCACGGTACAGCTCCTGCACAGGCAACTGTTACTGCCAAAATGGTGGCCTATTTCTTAATCACAGGTAGACACCTGTTAGCCACCCCTTCCAAGGTCCAATGATCATTGGGAAAGAGGGTATAGAAAGAATGTAAGAAGTGGAGGAAGGGGTGAAAAAACTGAAAGATTTCATCCTACAGGAAGCTCCTTAAGGAAGTAGGCACACAACTTAAAATAGCTTTTATTTTTTTATATAATTTTAGGAAGTCCCTAAAGCTGACCAGACTTACTGGGCTTCTCCCTGATAGAGTAAACTATAAAATCTTAGAGTCCCTCTCAGACCAAAGGAAGATGAGCTGCAAAGAAGAGTCTCAGACAATCTGAGCGTCGAAAAGACTCTACAAGGGAAAAAAACAGCAAAAACACTGAGACCAGCTGCCTGGAAGAGGTTCAGACGAGTGTCTATAGGAAAGGACACTCTCCAACCTGTTGAGCTGCCTGCAGGCTGTTCAGGGTGCTCCAGGTTTCCCAGCTTTTGGGAGCTGTCACCCGTGCTGAGGTGGGTCTTGGTGATGAAGCAAGTCCTTTCTGTTCCTGTACCTTCTCACCCATATTCCTGTAAGTAACCCCAATAAAACTCATTGGCTCACCAAGATGGAGTTGGGTGTTAATCCAGAACTTTGGTCTGTTGTGGGATCCCTATCTGGGGGGAATAAACATGTGTGTTGTGTATTCCCAGGAAAAGTTTTGCCACACGACACCCATCCTGACAAACAGGAGAAGGAAAAAGAAAAAGTCATAAAGGGAGCTCCAACAGAATGGCAATTAGAGATCTAGAGAGATCTGATTTGTCACTTCCACAGTATCAAATGTAGCAGAAAAGAACTCACAAAGATACATAATATTTAACAAATGATGTTTGACCGGTGCAAGGTGTCCGACAGACAAACCATGTAGATATAAAGGGGGAAAGCTCAAATAACGGAATAGAGGGAATCGGTGAAAACGTAGGGAAAAGGAGGCGTGACAACAGAGAACGAAAATGCCAGCAGGAGACCAGGCCGATGCCCCTGAAGTAGGAAAGTTTTGTGGCCAAGACAGGGGATGACGCCAAAAGTATGTGACTCACATGAATCTGCACTGTCCCTAGAGGACTTGGAGGGGCCTGGGTTGGCCTCACCAGGCATGGTACAGTCCTTCGTCCTCGGACTTGGACTCTGGGGAGGAGTGGAGCCCAGGCCCCTGCTGCTGCGTCGGTCTTCACTTGCTCCCACGCATGGGTCACTGCTGCTGCAGCAACTGGATTCCTCGGAGCTGGCGCAGGGCCCACAGTTCTCCCTTCTCTCCCAAGGGCCCCTGAAGCGGGAATCTTCCTCGTTTTCTCTCTCCCAGAAGCCACTGAGGCGACGGCTGGCGTCTTCACTGGTGCTCACCCTAGAGGAGTCACTGGCCTCATAGCCCCGGTCATCGCTTACTCCTCCCCAAGAACTACTGGGGCAGTGACGGCCATCGACACTGGCTCCTTCACAAGAACCGCTGAGGTCGTCACTGCCTTTGTCCCCCGAGTCGCTGGTTCGGGGCCCTCGGGCTTCAGGGACGCCCACCCAGACGTCTACGCTGGCAGCTGCCCTCGAGTCGCGGGAATTCGGACCCGCGTCACCCCTCACAGCCACCCAGGGGCTGCTCTGCCGATGGCCATCGCGTCCCCTGACTCTCTCCTGGGAGACACTGAGGTGCTGGCCGAGGTCTTCACCGACTCTTCTCGAGTCCCTGCGGGAAAAGCCGCCGTCCTCAGCTACTTTTCCCGAGGAGATCCTGGAGCGGCGGTCACCTTCTTGGAGGTTTTTTTCTCTGGGGTTGAGCCGACAGGATCCCTGCTCTTCCACCAGCCTCTCCCTGGACCCGGAGCCGAGGTAGCCCTGCGGGCCGCGGATCGCACATGCGCGGCGGACGGCGCGGAGGCCGCAGTCTTCGCTCTCCTGAACCCGCGGGTGGCTGTGGCGGCGGCCGCCGTCCCCGGGAGCGCTCTCCTCAGAGGGGTTTTCCAGCGTCTCAGTTCCTGCAGCCAGGACGGAGTGGCGGCGACGCCGTCGCCTTGGAAACAAGTACACTTCCGGTGTGTGGTCACTTCCGGATCCCTTATGCCTACGTCACTTCCTGCTTCCTTCCTTTCACCTTTTTCGAGGCTTCGCCCGAGGAAAGCCGCGGGACGCTAGGTACCGAGTGGTTTTCGGTGGGTTTTTTTGTTGTTGTTGTTTTATTCCGTTTTGCTTTCTCAGTCTCGCAAGAGCCTACCGAGACCTGCCTCTGGAACATCCTGCCGTGGCTCTCGCCCCCCAGTGGAAGTCTCAGGACCGCGGTTCGCGGCGCTGACCTGTGTGCCGCGCCTGAGGGGCCTTTTCGTCCTTGGCAAGCCTGGTATTCTATTTCAGGGCTGCTTTGAAAGAAAATCTGTTTCTACCCGGTGGCTTCGCAAGTAGAGCAAAATGCCTAACGAGGACGGTAGCGGGTGCAGTCCCTGTCGTTGCTGAGTGCGTGCCTGGGGTCGGGCTCGTCGATGTTCACTTGTTAGGTGTCACCCCCAGTTTACAGGTCGACACTCGGGATACAGTAGTTTGCTATAGCCAAGCCGCAGGTAAGTTCTCAGAACAGCAGTCGTTAGTCAGAAGACGACTCCGGTCCTGCTTTAAATGCAGCGTTTCTTTCGCTGTCGCATTCTTTTTTAACTGAACCAAACCCTTTCCAACAACGGTGCTTGCCCAACATGTATTCTTCCACTTCATTTCTACGAGTGTATGCACGTTTTGTGCTAGCCGCTGAGAGTATAAAAACTGGAAGCATCGTCCATATAGCTTGCAATTCTCAGTTCTTCCCCGCCCCCCCCCCCCCCGGAGCTGAGGACCAAACCCAGGGCCTTGGGCTTGCTAGTGCTCTACCGCTGAGCCAAATCCCCAACCCGTCAGTTCGATTTTTTTGTATGCTTATTACACATGCATTCACCTGCCAAGAGTAATGAGTTGGGGTCCTCTTAAACGAGCTTTTTCATTTCTCTGTGTCTGAATATGTTGTTTGCCCTCCACAAACTATTCTGCTCTCTCCATCCTCTCAATAGTTACGTTCTCTGAACACATTTGGAAAATATCTGACCATATACCTTCTCTCTTGAAGTAAATTGATTTTCTTTACCGTAGCTTTTTAAATACTAGTAACTGACATTTCTTGAGTTTATATGACCAGTCTAACATTGTATTCAGTGCTTTGTATTAGTTTTATTGTTGCTAAACCTTGACTGTTTTTTCATTCTTATTTTAAAAAGCATCAAATTGCTTGAGGATACACAGTAAGTAGTAAATACCTACATTAGTATTTCAGCCACATCCTTGATTTTTTTTTGTTTTGTTTTTTTGCACACTCCCCTCAACACCTGATTTCCTCAAACTTTTATTAGATTATGTCACACATCGTAATCACCTACTTAACATTTGGTTTTAACCCCTTCTTAAGGAGGTGAACCTTCTGGAAGGTAAGCATTCAGTCTTCCACATCTGGGTGTTCCTGGCATCTAGAATATTGACTTCAAGAGAAGAGCTGCTCAGCAGCCACTGTGTTGTTGAGCTGGGGTTGGTCTGGTTGTCTGGTGAGTGAACTGATAGGCTAACAAAGTTTTTTCACTGTTGGAAGGGGATTATGGGATTAGTCATTCCAGTCTAATTTTTCTCTTTTTCTTTTTAGAACTGGGGCAATTGAGACCTCTTGTGGGACAGGTATTTATTGAATTACATATGTGAAACCAGTGCCTATCACAACTGAACTGCAAATCATTTTAAACCTAATCTGTACTGTGTTTATTTCTTACAGATGAAGAAACAGGTCACATTTGATCAGGATGACATTAGTAGGACTTGGGGATTTGGAACCTACTATGGCTAACTCTAAACTAACATACTGCTTATAGCTACTACAAATAGCAAAGGCTCAATTTCTGGACTATGCTATATAGAATAGATAAGCCTACACAATGAACACAGCAAATCTGAAAGAGAAGAAGAGGAAACAGTGTTGGAAACAAGGGGAGCATGTTACAGATATAGAGGTTTTTAAAAAATCAAAAATGATTTTATACAACCCATACTAATAAATTTGGCAAATTGACTGATAATTTAGGAATATGCAGGTATCTAAAAGTTGGCTCAAGAACTATATAATCATAAAAGAATATCCCAAAGTATCTATCCTTGGCAAATATCACTAGGGGAAAAGTAGGACAGAATACTTTCCAAATACAAAGCTAATAACATAATCCTAATCCAAAAATTTAAATAGCAATTACCTATGAATCAGTGACTATGTAAAGTCTTCTAAATACCTTGCTCAAATAGATAACTATAGTCACTCTAAGAGTTTACAGTTAATGAGTAAGGAACATCCATAAGAGAATGGCTAGGTAAGTTTTACCACATTTATAAGATGGTGTAGAGAGACAAGATGATGATTCAGCCTGTGAAAAGTCCTTGTCGGATCCCTGAAACCACACATAATGGTGGAAGAGAAGTGATTGCTGCAAGTTGTTCTCTGACCTCTGCACACATGCTGTGGCACAACTGCACACATTCTCCACTGATATAAGCTACTCAAAATAGCTTTTTAAAAGGATGGAAAATATAAAAAAATAGTTGTAGACATGCAATCTACAGACATTAATGCATGTTATAATGCAGTGGAGAACAAAAGAGAAAATGCATGTAATCCTACTTCATTTCTTAAAAATTAGTTGTAAGAAAATTTTGTTTGGAAAGGACCTATACCAAATTGAGTGGTTCCATTATAGACCACAGAAAGGAGGCATGGAAATATAAAATATAAAAATAAGCAAATAAAAAGATGCACCATCCAGGCAATGGTGGCACACGCCTTTAATCCCAGCACTCGGGAGGCAGAGGCAGGAGGATCTCTGTGAGTTCAAGGCCAGCCTGGTCTACAGAGCGAGTTCCAGGACAGCCTCTAAAAACAATACAGAGAACCCCTGTCTCAAAAAACAAAATAACAACAACAACAACAAAAAAGATGCACTATTATATAAAGCAGAAGATAGTTTTAAAAGTAATGATCCACAATTAAGCTAAGGAAAAGAACATTGGTTTTGGCAAAGTCATTGATACAGCAGCTTTAATAAAACTGTCAAGATACAAAATCGGATTGCATAGCATTTCAAGGTAAGTTGACAGTAAAATCAGTTTCTTAATTGAAGCAAGGCAACTTCATACTGAAGTGGACATACCAACATTCCAGAGAATAGGAATTGTTTTCAGACAGTAAACTATAATTCTAGTTATTAATGGTTAGTTGTCCACACCTGTTTTGTTTTCAAGTGTTCTTTTTAGGGCTTTTTATTTATTTCTATGGGATTTTTGTCTGTGCATCATGGTGTGCCTGGTGCCCTCATAGGCCAAGGGAAACAATTGAAACCCTGGGGTCTGGAGCTGCCATGTTGATGCTGGGATTCAAACTGGAGTCCTCAAGAAGAGCAGCCAGGGTTCTTCAATGCTAAGCCATCTCTAGGTCTCACCTATTTTTCTAAAGTGAGATAAAACAAGTGAATCTTCTATAAATCAGCTCTAGCATTATTCCAGAGAGTAGCACCAGGTTAGGACAACTTGATTTTGACAACTATTTCAATTCCTTTGTCCTCTTGTGCTCATAAACATTTTAAAAATAAGATAGTTTCACTGTTTTGCCCAAACTCCCCGGGCTCAAGTGATTTTCTTGTCTCATTCTCCCAAATACCTAGGACCATGCATTGCAGCCTGTTTTGCCCATGTACTCCTCAAGACTCTCTCTACTGTTTGCTGAGTAACATTCTACCTAAAGGAACTGACCCTGTTTTGAATTAGAGAGCTCCCACCATACTAATTGAGGCCACCTTTTTCCCTCAATTTTACATCTGTGGGTGGAGGAGAGGAGTATGCATGCCGTGGTGCTCATATGGCAGTCAGAACAACTTGTGGGAGTCCTCCCATCACATGGTTCTTTGGTGTTAAACCCAGCTCATAAGACATGGCAATCAGCACCTTTACCTGTTGGTCATCTTGCTGGCCTACAAGTTGAAGCTGTTCTTGACAATAGCCTCCTAATTTTCTACTCTTTTCCCTGCCCATTTTCTCATTTTGTGGCTCAAACAGAGCCTTATACATAAGGAAATGTTCTACCAGTGCATAGCATCAGCTCCTATCTGATAATAGGGTTCATGTAGTCTAGACTGGCGTTTGAACTTTGGAACTTCCTGCCTCAGTCTTAGAAGGACAGGGATTACACCACACCTGGTCAGTTTATCTCTTTACAAGTGTACTTAGACTCCTGGGAATTTCCTGAATAATTTTTATTAGCCTTTTAAAATGTACTTTTTTCATTTAGCTCAATGCCAGCTACTCAATGAGAAGTTAAATAGAATGTAATTCTCTTTAAGCTATATATATCTTCCCAACAGAATTTAGTGTGACTGCTCTGTAATAAGTGTTAATAGGAACATTATGTGGTAAACTCAACCTGAAATCTCACTTTAGAAGATAAACTGTTTTTGGACGGACTCCGCCCACTTAGGCTCTCTTGCTCTCTCTCCAGCTCTTCTCTGCTCTCCTCTTTGTGCTCCTGTCTCCCTCCTCTTCTGTCCTCCCTCTGTCCCCGTGTCTCTACCTCTTTTCTCTTTCCTTTCCCTCCCTCCCTCTCTAATAAAACTTCTCACTAAAAAAAAAAAAAAAAGATAAACTATTTTTATGTGGTTTCACAAATTTCAACTTTTTAAGGATTTTATGTGTGCCTTCATGTATGTGTGTGTACCACATACCTGCCTGGTGCCAACCCACAGAGATCAGAACCACATCCCCAGGAACTGAAGTTGTGATCCACTCATTGGGGGTAGTTTTTTTTTTTTTTAAGATTTATTTATTATGTAGACAGTGTTCTGCCTGCATATCATAAGAGGATGCCAGACCTCATTATAGATGGTTGTGAGCCACCATGTGGTTGCTGGGAATTGAACTCGGGACCTCTGGAAGAGCCATCTCTCCAACCCCCTTAACTGCTAAACCATCTATAACCTCCAAAACTTAAACTTTTAATTCAGAAGATGTTCTGCCTTCTGAAGCTTTTATTTTGGTACTTGACAGTGTAGTTGATAATTTCTGTCTCCAGAGCCGTGGGTAGACATTTTCCATCTTTGGTTGCTAAGTCTAATTCTGGTGATTTCTAGAATGGTTAGCTGTTTATAAAGAGTAAACTTGAAGGTTCTTATTAGGTGGCCTTGAATAGGACTCACTTTGTCACATTTGGCCTCTTAAAAGGAACAAGTGAGAGTTAATGAACTCAGTTCAAAATGGGAATACCATTAGTCATCCCAGAAAAAAAAAGTCAGCAGTAGTGTGTTAACTTTCTTTGTCTTAAACCCATCTGTCCACTGAGTTTAGTTTCAGTAGCAGTTCAAGTGTCTTACAACCTCCTGTCCATGCTACCAGTTGCACTAGCCTAGGCTCCCATATTAGCTATTACATCTACATACTAGTTGTTTTGTTTTTCAAACAGTGTCTCATTGGGTGGCCTTACTAGCCTTGAAATTGTTTTGTAGACCAGGCTGACCTTGCATTCATAGAGATCCTCCAGGCTTCTCCAAGTACTTGAATTAAGGATATATATGATGTCTGGCTCATGAACTGTTAATCTTACCATATTTTTGTAATTTAACTGGCCAACGTTTTTTTCCCATTTTGGTAATTCTACCTTTCACCTTCCTACCTACGGACCTTTTCTTGGCCTACCAAGTATTTGGTAGTAGCTATCAGTGGTCTTATCCAGTGATCTTACAAAAAGAAAATGTTCTGCAGGAAATATGGCCTACATTATTGGATAGTACAATTCTTTCATAGCAGTGTTTGTGTAGAGCGTCAGTTGGGCTATCCTATAATGCACTCATTTTGTTGCTAACTGGAGACTAATAAGGTTATTGTGCCTTTTTTGTCTTTAGATGTATATGGGTGTTTTGTCTGCTTGCATTAAAATGCACCATGTGTGCTTTTTAAGTCTTAAAAAATTACTGTAGACAACAGTTTAAGAGTACAGGCTGGGGGGCTGGAGAGATGGGTCAGCAGTTAAGAGCACTGGCTGCTCTCCCAGAGGACCTGGGTTCAGTTCTCAGCACCCACATGACAGCTCATAGCTGTCTGCAACACCTAGGGGATCTGACTCCCCTATACAGATGTGCAGGCAAACACCAATGTATGTAAAACTAAAAAAAAAAAAAAAACAGGCTGCTCTCACAGAAAACCCAGTCTGGGTCCCACTGTCCGCACAGCAGCTTACAACTGGGTACAACTCCAGTTCCAAGGGATCTAATGCCTCCTTGGGCACCAGGTATGTAGATGATGCATAGACATACACATGGGCATTAAAATCCAGAGATTAAAAAGAAGTGTAACATTCAAACTGACCTCTCCAAATGCATTCCATTCTTAGTTATACTCTAAACCACTTCTATAGACTATTCCTTAATAATTCTCCAATAGTTTGGTAGTTTTATCTATCTTTTTATAAAGACAAAACCAAGTTTCACACTGTACTTTTGGAGTAGCTAAATTTTATTCATAAACGAGAGTAGCCTTTGGTGCTATGACCAACGAAATCACATAAAGAAAGCCTGCCAATTCCTACTACAAAACATTACAAGTCTTAATATTGTACATGTACTATGTCCCTATCTTCTATAAATGGTAAAATATTGTATCTAGGAATGCGGCTTGTAGCTGGCACTGCACTCATTTTAAAACACATGAAAGATAAAAGGGTCACATTCTAAAGTCACTCAAGAAATACAAACGAAGATGCTTCATCATTCAATTTATTACATGTATGAATATTAACATCTCATGGTATCCATCTAATTCAATCAAAACCAACAAAGGAAAAAGTTAACCATGTTTTTCATATGAACATTCTTACACAGAGTCCCTGTAACTTAAAATAGAAATATGCTCATCTGCATTAAATTGACAATTTGAAAAATATTTTTCTTAAAAAAAATCACTTTTAGTACTTAAATATATTTGTTAATTGCTTGATGGCATCAGTGTCCGATTTCAAGAATAAGCATTACTGTTTCATTACGTACTTTCC